AATAACTTTTTATATATCACATAAAATAAAGCCAGGGTAATATTCAAAGGCGTAGAGATCGAATTCGATGGCCAGAAGTAAGTATCAATTTTGCGAACCCTCCTCAAATTAGGCCTATATTCAGATATTCGAGTTGGTGAAAATGCCCCCCCCCCCCCCACGTCCACCATTTTGAAAGGTCGGGGCGCTTTTTACGTCACGTTGCCTTTTAATTTTGGTGTCTTACAATTGATGCAGAAAACAATTAAATAAGTCCGTAAGACAACATCGCAGTCTTTATTCTTTATTTCGACTATATATAATTCAGTAATGAGCTTTTTATATTATCTACCACGTTCGGCGCTCCCTTTGTGTTGGTGCATTTGTAGTTTGTCGTGTTTTTAGTTATTTGTTGTATAGTGTACCTTTATTTTGTTGTGTTGTGCATGTTTTTATTTTTATTTTTAGTGTTTGTTGTTTTATTTTATTGTCTATTTTATAGTGTATGCTGTGTTTTGAACTACGTTATGAGCGTTGCGTTCTGTTCTTTTATCTCTATATACCTAGCATATAAGAACTTGTAAGTTTATCGTTCTTTCTCGCGTTAATTCGTGTCTAGTTAGCCAGGGAGAGATAAAAGTTTTCGAACTAAATCAATTGTTGTGAACGGGGTTTCCCATTGATAACAAAAAACATGGCGGCTATTTGTTAGTAGGTCCCGCTTCAAGATTTCAAAATCATCAAACCTTCCAGAAATGCAACAACTGTAAAAACTTTCAACGCTGTTTTGTTCATATGGATGGGAACAAACACATGTGTATGCATTTTTTAATATAAAAGTTTTGTGGCGGTAAGTATATTGATTTTATTTCTTTTGTTGATAGTTTGTCCAGGGCTAGGGGACATTACCCTGACTCTACTCAGTCTTTGCTACGAGACTTAAGATTCCCAGATCTAGACCTAGATCTAGATCTAGATCTAGATTCTAGAATCTACCAACTAAGATCTACATTGCTTTAATCTAGTTCTAAGAGTATAAGTTCATGATTTAGAATATATTAGATCTAGATTCTAGATCTAGTATTTTAGTGATTTAGATAAAATATTAAAAATATTAAGAAAAGGATGACGGTAAAAACTAAAACAACAGGAAAATGAGGATGACTTCCAGTCTCACTCAGCCTACGACTTACTTATAGATTCTAGTAATGCCTAGTAAGGCTAACCTGTTTTTAATTTTAAATCAATTTTTTTATTTCTAGAATCTAGACTAGATCTACTCTAGCTATTTACTAGACAGGGATGTGACTTTTCCGAATTTTAGCGGAAATCCGATTTTTCCGTTTCAGTTGCGATTTTCCTCCGCTGATTTAATTTTCGCCGAATTTTTCCGCCGACTTCCAATTTTTGTCGATTTTTTACAAAGTTTTAAAAATTAGGAAAAAAAAAACGGAAATGTCTTCTACGGAAAGGGCCGACATGCTCATTCCACTTATTCGTATGTAAATTTAAATCGACAACTACTGTACTAAGGTCAAACGGACACTCGAATATGCGCATTTCTTTTTTATTGGTCGATTGCGCTAGGTTTGACGGTCCTAGATCAAGATTAAATGTAGATTAAGATTCGGAATTTCGGCGGACTTTCGAATTTTTCAATGCACTCTTTTTTAGTCCAAATTTTCCGCTGATATTTTCAGTTAACTATTAATCAAAAACACGGGAAAAGGTAATCTAAAATAATGCAGTTATTTAAATGAAACTTACATCTCTTAAGCCTGGTAATCTAGCTATCGATATAGCCTAATTTACCTATCGGTATTTTAACCCGCCTAAACCTAGAGTTTCCCTCTGCTTCTATTTTATTTCGCAATCTCAAATTAATATTGCAATCCTTGTAAAAGGTGACTATGAGGACTCGACTAATCCGCCCCACCTCGTAGCAACGGTGGCTCTTGTGACCTCACCTTGACCCCAAGTACGTGTTCGGTACTGCTTGTGGGGGAAAAAAATGACGTCACACCCAATTTCAAATAGCTGTTCCAGCAATACGTATGCTTCGCTTCGTAGGCCTACAGATTTAAAAAAAAAATACTAAACTCAACGTGACTACGACCGTGTCTTGTTTGTGGAAGAAAAAATACGTTCAGACTGTTTTTAAATTTTTAATAAGGGGTCTTCCATAAATAATGTCACACTCGTAAGATAGTGTAACGTCATATTTTTGTATTTTAAAAAAGTAATGTTAGAAACAACTGCATTTTAGCCGCTATTAGAAAACTGTTGTAAAACATTGTAATAGAAATAGAAATTGAATAAAATACCCTCTGTTGGTCGACCTCTGTCAATATTTTAGAAAAAAATCGATGCTTAAAAAAAAAATTAATTTTGAGGAGGGGGGGGGGGAGCATTTGTTGGCTGAGGTGTAACTTCATTATAGGGGGGGGGGGGGAGTCTGGCTTTTGTAGGAGAGAGGGGAGGTAAATATCGTCAAAAAAACCTGGATGACCCCTAAAACTGACAATTTACATTTATTCCAAAAAAAAAAAACATAAATATCGATGTGGCTTGGCTATCAAAATGATTAACTTTGGTTCACACATCAGACCCTTTGTAATTTTAGCTAACCTGGTCCATTTCATTTTTCCATCACATGAACCTAAAATTTTCAAATTATAACTAATCTTAATCTAGGGTCTTTACATTTGGAGACAAATATTTTTACCAATCCAATCTTTAAAAGAATATATATTAGGCATTAGACCCCCTATTAAAAAATTGAAAACAGGAGTACATCTAGAATCTACATAGATTAGTACAGTTTAAATTAGCTTCATGGTAAAATAAAACTTAATTGCTACTTTTGTTACATTGTAGTTTTTAAAAAGTTGTTTATAAGGTAAACATTAAATTGCAATTAGACAAGACTTTCAATGTTATTTTAGAGTAACATAAACTTCTTGTATTTAAAATATTAACTTCATTAAACAATTAATTAGTACAATAACAGTATGAAGCTGCTTACTGCGGTATGAAGCTGATTAACTGCGATAAAAAGTAGATAAAACATTGAGTTATTATCCAACATATTGAGTTATTATCCGAAGAAAATTTCCTAATTTTTTTTCCTGGTCTGGTCTCATCCCTGACTAGATCTAGATCTAGATCAGTAGCCAGTAGAGTGATTAGAGTAGTAGTAGAGTGTAGTGTAGAGTACTGTAGACTATTGTAGAGTGTAGGTACTAATAACTAGACTGAAACTAAATTAGACTAGAATCTAGATTCTAGGTCTAGATCTAGGTACATTTAGGGCTTACAGACTTATCAGACTACAGTGTTGCAATGAGTAGATCTAGTAATATATAGATTAAATTTAGTTTGAAATTGTTACAGTAGTGCTACTACTTTTCTAAGTAGTAAGTAGTGTAGACTACTAGAAGAGCAAGATGATAGATATCCATCAAGCTACAAAAGAGTTTAGTTAGTAGTTAGTTAGTCATAGTAATAGTACCAAAAGCATTGTAAGTAACACAGTAAAAAAAAGTATTACTAGGCCATCTACTATTGTATTAGGCCCTTTTATTTTTAGCAAGTTAAAGTTTGGTTAAGTACTAGTCTTCTAGCAAGTTGCCTAGTAGTAAACTTATAAACTAGATCATGTGTATTAGTACTATTAGACTTGTAGGCTAGTCTTGTTAGTCTAGACCAGGGACTATAAAATCTACAATTGATAACTTTCGGCCTTTTAGTATAAGCCTAATTATTAATGAATTACAGGGTACAAAAATTAATAAATTGGTCAGAGTCAGTATGGTTACAGTTAGCTGTTAATAGAATTAAGTTTTAGATCTATTGACTATAATTTTTAGTTACAAGTAATGAAAATGAAACTAATAGTTTTGTAATAGTTAAGATATGGTTAACTGTAAACGAGATATTTTAGTTTTTAAGACAAGCTAAGTAGATAGAAAACTGAGAACCTTTACAATAAATTAAACCTTTTAGAAATATAAATAAATAAATAAATAAATAAATATATATATATATATATATATATATATATATATATATATATATATATATATATATATATATATATATATATATATATATATATATATATATATATATATATATATATATATATATATATATATATATATATATATATATATATATTAATATCTCATATTAGTTAAATAATTATTTTAATATAATATATGGATAAACTTAATAATTTATTATATTTAAATTCCCTAGGTACTTGGCAAGCAATTTTCTCACACTTTACTGTGGCTATTGGTGCTGATCTTGAACTAAAGGTGAGCTGAATTTTTTTTTTTATAATAAGCCATTTTTCAGCTTAAGCCCTAGTTTGAAATCGATTCAGTGTTCTAATTCTTAAAGAATATGTTGCTACTAAGATTATATATTGTAAGTATTAATATGCATGGTTTGATAGTGAGACTGTCAGACAGTAGCTTTCACATTTCTATCCTAAAAGATAAGAGTTCAGATCCCTGGTTTTAGTCCTGGTATGATGTCCTAAGTCTCATGAGTACCAGCTCTCATGAGTACCTGGCTCAAGATAGGGAAATTAAAGGTGGCTGGGTATATACCTCTGAACACTCTAATTTTACATGCAAATGTCACAGAAACAGGTGAATTTTAATTCAACTGCTATATTGGCTGTCTGTTTTAATCAATGATAAATTTTTTCATATTACAGAAAGTTGTTAAAAATATTATTTATTTAATTTCTAGGTAAATGGAACAGCATGGATGTGGATTTTTAGACACAAGGAAGCTGAATTTAACTTTTAATGAAGAATTTAAATGATGATTGTCCATGAAAAGAAATATTAATCATATACATTGTAATGCTGTATTGATGCATCTTCTGTTTTAAGTAATTAAAAAACCATCCATTTATGAAATTCTTTTCATTTTTTTTTTCAATTTTAAAACTCTAGTTCTGTTTTGTTATTTGAAAACAATGATGAAAGTATACTGAACTGCCATTGAGATATTAATATAAATGCTATTGTTTATAGTTTAATTCTTTCAGAAGCAACTATATTGACATCAAAACTGAATCTTTATTGTACACTAAGTATAAAAGCTTACCCGCAAACCAGTCCATGTCAACAATTTATTGACATTCAAACATTAAATTTTTTTAAAGGTGATTTTTCTTAAATAAAACAGACTACTTTCATATGGGATAAGAAACATTTAATTTTGAAATTGATTGGTTTATTAAATTTTAATGGAGCTGAAACTAAAACACTGGGTACAAATTTATTATTACTTTGTTTCTCAGAAAATTGCAAATTTTGAACATAAGAACTGTGGGAAGTAGGCAATGATGTTAAAATATCTCTTGAAACTTGAAGAAATTGTGGAAGGTTTAGAGATAGAAAACAACATTTCAGAAGATGATGTTTGAAATAATGGTAAAATATCTTTAGCAATTGTCACTGAATAAATATTTTCATTAGACAAATCACATTTAGATATAGAAGAATAAGGTATGTCTTCAGATTTTCTTATCAGCGAAGATCCTGGGTGATTCTCTTTGTTACCATCGGTCAAACGACAAGCCAATTCTGGAAAATTCATTGGGTTCTTTGCCTGGGCAGCTAAATATATTTAAATTAAGTTCATGCAAGGCTTTAGAAACATCAATTGGATAAAACTCTATAATTTCATTAACTTTTTATTAATATCAGCTCCAAAGGAATAATATAAGCAAGTTACACATCATCAATAAATCAAATTTGCAGATATTTCCATTTCACCAAACTTTCTCTAAGTCATAATATATATTTTAAATTCATGGCATTTTGTTAGGCTAGATATGTTGACTTTTATTTACCACAATAATCTGATTATATAAATTAGGATTACCCAGCTATCATACATTCTTCTTTTTACTGCCCTCCTTTATGAGGGGGAGGTAAAAATCATAATAAAATGTGTGATGCAATTTACAGATGAACCCTCTCTCTCTCTACCCCTCCCCCTATATATATATATATATGTATATCTACATTATCTCTAAAATCATGTTGGTACCTCTACCTGTTTGAATGTTAGGCCCCTTTCCTTCAACTGTTTCTGTGTGGATCTTCTCCATGGGGGTCATCTATAAATGACGTCACGCATTTTTTTGACGATTTTTACCTCCCCCCCTCCCCCTACACATCGTCACAAAAAGCCAGACCCCCACCCCCTAAAATGACGTCACACAGTACTAGATTCTAGATCTAAATTACTACAGTTGCCTACACTCTACATTTAGTTCTTAAGTTCTACAACAAGACTACACTAAACTTCGCTAGATCTAGAATAATCTAGATTCTATATATAAATTGATATGGAACATATTATAGTCTACCTGTCTTAAAGTAAATAGCCTATTTAGTAATTTAGTAATTAATTCCACTCAACTACACTGTAAAATAAAAGAAACTAGATCTAGAATCTAGATCTCTAGACTACTCTTGAGTCTATAAATTAAAAATAAATCCTGTATGTCGTATGTTACTGTCTAAGTCGGAATTTTCAAGAGGGTTTTTTTTTAAAGTCATAGATCTAGATATAGAATTCTAGATCTAGAAATCTAGACTCTAGATCTAGGCTATATCTATATATTTATTAATTAAATTATGCTTGATTTCAGATTTACGATTGAAATCTTTTAGGCCTATAAATATCATATTTTATATAGATTATAGATGTATTATTATTATACAGGTTGTATTCTAGATCTATCTAGATCTATATCGAATGTATGTGTGTTATTTTAAACTTAATTTACTTAAAACAACTTATTGTCGGAGTTTTTTTTATTCCAAAAACGAAAGTAGATTTCATAACTTAAAAAAAAATAAATAAAAAATATTCACATTTGGTTTGAAAAAACAAAAAAACGCCAGCTGGCAACTACCGGAGCGAGAACTTGGTAAGCTACTTTAACAACTTACAAGCCCAATAGGTTTAGCACTCACTCCCCAATAGATTAATCTGAAGACGTCTCTGTGTAATTAGCCTGTTGTTATGTACGGGTTAGTTTCAGATAAACAACAACTCTTCGTGACTACATTCACTACCTTTATTCCGTCTCAAATACATACATTCAAGAGTAGCCCTCGTCCTAATCGCTAGCAACTAACCGCTGACCCCCTACAATCGTTCACTCGCCCTTTTATACCCGCATTCGACCTTGGTATTACAAGACATAGCACACGGGGGTTACTACACAGTAGGGTGAACTCAACTCACACACGCACTCCTCCCTAAGTACGAGTCTATTCTACCCTATTCTAACCTGACCTCAAATGACCAGTAGCACCTGTACACTATTCATTTTCTTTAAGTAGCAGAAGTTAATCTTTAAAAACAAGTATTTCCCTTCACCAATTCGTGCTGTGTATTAGAGCTAGCAGAGGCCCCAAGACTTTCGACCGTCTATAGCTGCGTGAAATGTTTTTTGTTCTTTACGTTTCAAATTAATACACCTGTCTTAAGGTAGGTCATTAAGTGTAACAAATTAATTATATTGGGTCACACAATGGCAAATAAACAGAGCGAGAAATAAGTTAGCTGAGGTTGTGACCAGATTGGTCGGTGTTGTGAATAAAAAAACTACTTTTGGCATGTGCTATATTTAGACTCTTGATCTAAATCAGACTTTATCTGCTCTTCTACATATTCATGCAGTTCTATCTATTATTTAAAGTAAAAAAAAACGATAACACAGCCACATTTTGTTATTAAGTATAACGAATTTTTATTCATTTTATAAATCTATGTATTAAAAATATTGATGCAATTTGATAAAAAATCATGCTTAATTTTATAAAATTGCCCTTTTTAATATTTTTTTCTAAATATTTTGTGATAAATATGAACCTTATCAGCATAATTAGCTACAAATGAAATGATTTCCATCTATTCACACTATGAAGATAGAATTTTTAAAAATTGTCTCAATATTTTCTCCATGCCATTACTTAATAGAACGTTGCAACAATTGCTGGTTCCTATGTGTTGAATATTAATATGCCAGTACCAACATACGCTTTTACCTCATTTAACAGCTAAGCTAATTTAAATATTAAAGGAACTAAATTAATTAAAAAATAATTAAATGCAGATCTTGAAATGCTTGTTTTCACTCATGTTAGTTTGAAATTATTAAAATCCTAAAACATTGAAGACTTGGTTAAATAATGATTTCAGAAAAAAAAATTGTTTTAATCGTTTAAAGTGGTTGGATTATACTTGTAAAGTGACGTGAATGGCTGCTTAGCGTTTGGTTTAAGACTAATACAAATGTTGTGTGTGTATCGTAACAAACATTGTTGGGGTTAGAGGATATTTGGTATCGATACCATCAGCAGACGCAGGTCGAGTTAATCGACGACAACAAATGAGTTGACGCTTGAGTCATCTTCCGTGTGACTGACGGACATGATGCTGCTGTCCCCATCAGAAGTGGACTCGTCCATTGACAATGGACTGGTCTTGATGTCCACTTTCTGGTCAGTCCAGCCGAGGTAGACACAGGTGCCCCGGGTGATGATCTGGGGGTGGGTGGTCGAGTGCTCCACGCCATCTTCGTCCAGCCACTTCTCCTCCACAAACTCCACACAGGCCTGTGGGGGGAGAGCGGAGTGGGCGTGGGGGAGGGGATAAAAATAAAAATAATTTTTTTTTTTTTCTTATCACTATGTGTTGATTTGTGTATGAGTTTTTCTCAGCGTATCTAGGAATAATATTACAAATAATAAAAACAAATAATCAAACATAGGAATAATTAATTTGAATTTTTTTTTGTGGGTGTCCGGTTACCGGTAGTGGTTCAAAAGTTTATAGAAGTCAACGTAAGTGATCTAACACATCAATAAAATTCGTCCACCTAACTGAAACTCAGTGTCTTCATACACGCAGACAAGGTTACAGAACTGATTTTTTCATTCTCGATTTGAGAAAATATCGAATTTAATATTTTACGCGACCAAAATACTACCTCTTTACTTTGTATAAAAGTGAAAATCTAATAAAATTGTGACATGTTTTCGAACGTTAAAACCCACTATACTAATCGAAACGGAATAATCAGGTGAATTATATATCAAAAGATTATATTAATGGACTTGATGTGTGTCGCAAAAACTTTTGCCTGGGAAAAAAACAAGGGAAATAACTCACCATTTCTTCTTCTGTTAGAACTCCACCATCTCCAACAAGTCTAAAAGCCTCATGTAAGTTCTCAATGTTCACAAAAAATAGGAGCCCGCAATGTTCGTCGCCTGAGAAGGTGATAGGGAGCACTCCTGTTGAAAAATAAAACATAATTTAGTGAGCTAGAACACGTATTTTAAGATAGAAACATTGTCAAAATAAAATTTTACTTGTAGATATAACTATTTTGGCTCTAGATCAAGAAAGTTGGGTGACCTTTACGGTGTGCTAGAGTGGTTCGAATCTCAAACTCCACGACAGAGCATTCTTGTCTTGCTAGTAGCTGAGCATGGGCTCGGGATGATGGCTCAACTTCAACCTGCAAAAAACATTTCTTGATAAAACAAAAAACTTTTTAATATCCTCGCACTTTGATCACAGTGAAAAAAGCAATAGCACTGAGTTAAGACAACAAAACAAACAAATTTACATACATACCTTCGTGTTTATCTCCCATGTTTTAACCTTTTGGAACACTTCACCTTTGACCTTGTTTAGGTTGAGAGTATTGTCTATGCCCACTCTTAAATACTCATTAGGGATGTTTAACAGGGCACACGCCTAAATGAATATATATATATATATATAAATATATATATATATATATATATATATATATATATATATATATATATATATATATATATATATATAGTGTGTGTGTTGAAATTCATGATTCTTGGGGTTGTGTAGAGCGGTAAGCAATATTATGAGACCACCACGAAAATACACCACCCTGATAATAACGATGATCATTCTGATACATTTTTCTACTGCTGGCCACTACCTCTTTGTTGACCGTGTAACATTGTTCTAGGTCCACGTCCACCCATGTGGTGGTATCACATGATCTTTTAAAAGTGTGACTTTGTGAACAATCGGCTTTGTTGTCATAGAAACTTGAGAAGAGCGTAACCCATTGTTTGCCTGAAGTGAATACAACGAAGTATATATAATTTGTCTTTGGTGTCTTTATCTTTATAGGTGTGTGCATTGGGCAGTAAATATACATTAGTGAAACATAGAGGTTGTGGAAATAAAATATCCACACTATAAAACAAAGGACATAAGGGTTGTGAAATCGAAAGTTCCCATAAACACTACTACGTCCCCACCCCCCACGTCCCCACCCCCTCTGCCATCCCCTGGGACACAGAGCTCCGCCACGAAACAGTTTGATCGATTTTTAAAATGATCACCTGTTTCCACATCACCACGGTGGTGTTTGATCACAGTTCCGTCCTTCACCTTGGGAGAGAACTTGGTGACCTTGTGGTCGATGGTCAGCGCCGTCCAGTCCACCTCACAGGTGTAGCGACCCTTAGTTTCCTCCATCATCCACTGTTCGATGTCATCCGACTCCCTGGATTAAATGAGATGTTATTGCACAGCACTAAATACACATTCCCACGCAGTAATTTAGGATTTTAGGGATATGCACTACGTATCAATCTATATATATATATATAATTCTCTTTTTGGAGACGATAGAAAACACCAAGCTGTAAGCGCGCCTATCAGTCCCCTCTCTTCCTCTCTAGGCATATCGCAACCACCCCACCCCCACATGGTCTGGTGAGCTGTGGTTCACGCTAAATGTTTACAATCGTAGAGCCGGGTTTAGCGACGGCTATTAGGGGCAGATAATTTAGTTTGAAACTATTTTAAACTTAGTGGAGGTAACTAAGTGGAGGCTGCTTTCACGGGGGGGGGGAGGTTGGGGGGAAAGGAGTTTTTTAGTGTTTTAAAGCAAATATTTTCAGTGACAGCATTGGTACTGTCGAATTCACAAATTATGAATTACTGAGAAGTAGAAAATAAAACTAAATAGCAGCGTGTTATACGCCGCGGGTCGGCTCGTACATTTATAATCCAACTACTGAAGTATAGTTTGTAGAATACAAAGCGAAAAAATGAAGACCGATTATGCACGTATTCATTTTTCTATAGTCTGAATTTGTTGTGAGTACAGTCTATGTTCAAGAAATGAAAAAAAATGCTGTTTTAGGTACTCACTTGATCATCTTCTGCCAGGCGTAACGATAAATGACGTCATCAAGCTCAATGGATAAAACTGGACTATCCTTTAAATTTGTCTTTTCTTTAAGGAACTCTGAATAAAATCATTTCAATTTTTTAAATCAGGGAAGAATTGATGATCTATACTTTTGTTAAAGTGTGCTAAACAGCTAGAGCGTGCTGTGCTACGTTTAGGTGAGGGTGTTATGTGTTAGAGTTTGGGTTGTGCTAGGTGTCGCTCGATTCAAAATACTTCGAATTACGTTGAAGGGCGGTTGATAAATGAGCCTAGCGCGGAGGGAGAGTGTCACATCTTTTATTACCATGTGCTTCGCAGGTGCCTGATATCGTGTGTGGGACTGGGGGGGGGGGGGGGGGGGGAGGTGTATAAGTTTTAATATATGTGATATAGCATATACTTCGTTTCAGGGGCGTAGCGAGGGGGGTGCGGGGGGTGCGGACCGCACCGGGTGACACCCGACCCCGCTACGCCACTGCTTCGTTTTGTGTGTGTGTAGAAATGAAAAGAAATTGTTTGCTGTTGTTTGTTTGTTGTTTCCCTTACCACGTTTTTTTCTCATGTCTTTAGGCCGCTTATAAGTCTCGTTTATAGCAAGAGTTTCTTCCAGTGTCGTTTCTCTATCGTAGTGTCTAAAATGAAATCAGCACATGTTTGTTTTTTTGAGACCATATGCAATACAACGTTAGACTTTAAAATCAACTGACTGAGCATTCAACAGATCCACTTACCGATCCACCGACCAATCTACTGTCTGATCTACTGACAAATCTACCGACCTGTCTACTACCAATCTACTGACCAATCTACTGACCAATCCTATAATAACCGAAAGACCAACGTCCAGTCCATTCTTTTGATCTATCCACTGACAAGTAAACTGACCAGCCCACTGCCAAGTAAACTGACCAACGCAACGACCAAATCATCCCATCACCACGCTGGTAAGTCAACAAACTAACACAATGACAGATTCAATATTCAACCAACTGACCAGCTAATTGACCAGCCAACTGACTGACCAGCCCACTGACTGACCAGCCCACTGACTGACCAGCCCACTGACCAGCTCACTGACTGACCAGCCCACTGACTGACCAGCCCACTGACTGACCAGCCCACTGACCAACCCACTGACCAGCCCACTGACCAGCCCACTGACCAGCTCACTGACCAGCCCACTGACTGACCAGCCCACTGACCAGCCCACTGCCAGCCCACTGACCAGCCCACTGACCAGCCCACTGACCAGCCCACTGACCAGCTCACTGACCAGCCCACTGACTGACCAGCCCACTGACCAGCCCACTGCCAGCCCACTGACTGACCAGCCCACTGACCAGCCCACTGACCAGCTCACTGACCAGCCCACTGACTGACCAGCCCACTGACTGACCAGCCCACTGACCAGCTCACTGACCAGCTCACTGACCAGCCCACTGACCAGCCCACTGACCAGCCCACTGACCAGCCCACTGACTGACCAGCCCACTGACCAGCTCACTGACCAGCCCACTGACTGACCAGCCCACTGACTGACCAGCCCACTGACCAGCTCACTGACCAGCTCACTGACCAGCCCACTGACCAGCCCACTGACCAGCCCACTGACCAGCTCACTGACCAGCCCACTGACTGACCAGCCCACTGACTGACCAGCCCACTGACCAGCCCACTGACTGACCAGCCCACTGACCAGCTCACTGACCAGCCCACTGACTGACCAGCCCACTGACTGACCAGCCCACTGACCAGCCCACTGACTGACCAGCCCACTGACCAGCCCACTGACCAGCCCACTGACTGACCAGCCCACTGACCAGCCCACTGACCAGCCCACTGACCAGCCCACTGACTGACCAGCCCACTGACCAGCCCACTGACCAGCCCACTGACCAGCCCACTGACTGACCAACTCACCGACCATTACTTGTGTGAAAACTTGCCTTACCTCTCACACCTGTCCACGAACATAATAAACAGGAAAATGTGGGTGCAGGTCGTGACCAAAGCAAGCAGTGCCTTCAAAGTGGATTGGAGAGAAATTTCTAGTTGATCAAAGAGCTGAAACGAAAAAAAAAACAAGTACGTTTGCTATACCTGTTTTCTTCACTCATGCTACATTAATTATGGAAAAAAAAGTTCAGCAAAGTTCGTTTCCGTCTACCTCATCAATTATATTTCAGCCTTAAATCAGCCAATGAAACCTCTTCTTTTTAAACCTTTCAGCTCCCTAAGGAGTGTTGGGCTGAGAGGACAAATCACCAACGAACTTGATGTGTGGCTACCTTTTTAAGTTCAGGCCATGACAAGTCAACCATACTTCTCTCAAAAAAATCACCTCTATGATGTTTTGTTCCCCTCCACCTTCTTCTCTTCCCTTTCAATATGGCTTCTAAGTCCACGGTCTAGAAATCTACTAGCTGGCAAGTACGAGAACGAGAAGTTGTGACCTACTTACAAGCCCTATTGAGCTTCAGCGCCCGTACATTGTGTAACTTTCTCAAGGAGTTCACTATCCAACCGCTTTTCTATCTCTTAATTTGTCCTCCACTGGTATATTTTTACAAACCTACAGACGAAGATCCGATATTTTGTCTGGAACTCTACATCAGTACCAGCCTCATTCGCCCGATTTTTACTTTGTCATTAACCAGTACAATCTGTTATGTATTTGTTGTTGTGCGAGAAGGCAGATTTGATCAAATAGCTGGTTCGGTGTTTGTTGCATTATTCAGTCAACCAGCATTAAAAAAATATCACAATTGTCTTACTCCAATTAATGCTTTCAATGGTTCTAATGATGTAATACAATGTGCGTTTTGAGTCGTAGATGTAATCGACAACTGAGATCAATGTATCGGGGATTTCGCAATATTTTATGGGATTCTATACTACGACCCTGTGTGCAGTCCTAATTGCCTTTTAAAAATCTATATAAAAAAAACTACACACACACAAGCACATAGACAAGGGGGAGGGGCGCAATTTGGAAGTTATCCCAGCAGACTACTAATAGGACACTGTGTAAATTATTAAACCATATTAGTTACGTAACAAACAGTTAACTGAGAGTGTACTAAAAATAAGACGCTTGACATTTTTACCCACCTGGAAAATTTCTAGGTATTCCAGTGTCACCTTGACCTGCCAACACGCAAAAGCTATTAAAATGGGGAAGAAGATGAACAGGACCCGTAGAGGCAGCTGTAGTGGGATGCCCAGTTCCATGTACAGCTCGTCGCGAAGACGGATTATCCATGGCTCACTATTTCTTAACGGCCAGTCTGGGTTTTTCCATTTTCCGCCTCTTCCGGGGTAGATCTTATCGCACGCTGGTTGTAAAGAGAGTTGGATGTTAGTGTGGGTGGGGTGTAAAGAGTTGAGGTGCTAAGGTGGTGGTGTGTGTGTGTATGTGTGTGTGTGTGTGTAGATGAAGGAGATTATTGGGAGATGTGTAGCACCATGTCGGCTATATTTCGAGTCCTATGACACGCATCTAATCCCTCCGATGTAGATGGTGACACGAACCTACTCTCACCAATGGTCAATGGTGATACGAACCTACTCTCACCAATGGTACATAGTGACACGAACCTACTCTCACCAATGGTACATGGTGACACGAACCTACTCTCACCAATGGTACATGGTGACACGAACCTACTCTCACCAATGGTACATGGTGACGCGAACCTACTCTCACCAATGTACATGGTGACACGAACCTACTCTCAGCAATGGTACATGGTAACACGAACCTACTCTCAGCAATGGTACATGGTAACACGAACCTACTCTCACCAATGGTACATGGTGACACGAATCTATTCAGTACAATGGTACATGGTGACACGAACCTACTCTCACCAATGGTACATGGTGACACGAACCTACTTTCACCAATGGTACATGGTGACACGAACCTACTCCGTGTAATGGTACATGGTGACACGAACCTACTCTCACCAATGGTACATAAACAACATATACAAGCAACATTATGAAGCCTCAACATAACACTTACTTATCTCTTCTTCCTCAAACATCGTTTTATGATGGAAGCTGCCCTTCATTAAGTAAGTATCGATAAATAGATTTTCTTTTCTACATGAATCTCCTATCCATCAATCTCCATGTGTCAAAGTCACGAACGCGCTATTACGTGCACACTGTGTTGCGCTTTATTGATGGGAATTCCCGAACCAAACTGTTAATTTGGTGTGTTTAAGGTGGTGTGCACGTATTAGCGTAAAACATTAGATTAGAGTCTTAAAATGTAATACTGATAATTATTCTCTTTTATTTTCATGAAACATATTATTGATAAAAAAACTGTAGCCATAATGTATAACACCACCATAGACGAGACTTTCTTTGAAGCCGCTACATCTAATGTCTACACTCTCTGTTCCAAATTGGCCAAATTTGTATGTGTGCCTTTTTAAAGTTTTACTTTTAAAAAGATACTTAAGTTGTAGGTTTAGAATAATCTGATACACCCCCCCCCCTATCCCCACACGCACTCACCGAAAATAGTAACCGGAAAGAGCCCATGCGGAAATGCAATATTCACGCGTATTATCTTTATGTCTCAGCATAACAATAATTTAAAGACCCGAGGTACAGGGCTGTTGTCTTGTGGCCTTTACCTTCGCCGATTCATGCCAGGTACCTACCAGCGCTGAGTGGACTCAGAGACGCTCTACAGAGTTGAAAGGTCAACGGGAACCAGCCAATAGCTGTGTGTAGCAGTTTTGTTCTTTACGTTATAGGGCTGGTAAGTAGGTCACCAACCAGTTCTACGGCTCAATAAAACCGGCATGAGCCATGGAACTGGTTGGTGACCTACTTACCAGCCCTATAAACGAATAGTCCCGCCTTAAGTAGGTCATTAAGTGTAACAAATTAATTTGACTTCATATTAGCTGTTAGGCCTTGTACCCACTGGGTTAGACAACGGCAACCAAATAAAGCGAGACATAAGTTAGGTGAGGTTGTGACCACAGTTGGTCGATGTTGTCTAGTTTCATGACAGGTAAATGTCAGAGCTGGGTCTATCCACTGGGTCTGACAACGGCAACCAAATAGAGCCAGCACAAAGCTAGCTGAGGTTGTGAACAGAGTTGGTCAGTGTTGTCTAGTTTCATGACAGGTAAATGTCAGAGCTGGGTCTATCCACTGGGTCTGACAACGGCAACCAAATAGAGCCAGCACAAAGCTAGCTGAGGTTGTGAACAGAGTTGGTCAGTGTTGTCTAGTTTCATGACAGGTAAATGTCAGAGCTGGGTCTATCCACTGGGTCTGACAACGGCAACCAAATAGAGCCAGCACAAAGCTAGCTGAGGTTGTGAACAGAGTTGGTCAGTGTTGTCTAGTTTCATGACAGGTAAATGTCAGAGCTGGGTCTATCCACTGGGTCTGACAACGGCAACCAAATAGAGCCAGCACAAAGCTAGCTGAGGTTGTGAACAGAGTTGGTCAGTGTTGTCTAGTTTCATGACAGGTAAATGTCAGAGCTGGGTCTATCCACTGGGTCTGACAACGGCAACCAAATAGAGCCAGCACAAAGCTAGCTGAGGTTGTGAACAGAGTTGGTCAGTGTTGTCTAGTTTCATGACAGGTAAATGTCAGAGCTGGGTCTATCCACTGGGTCTGACAACGGCAACCAAATAGAGCCAGCACAAAGCTAGCTGAGGTTGTGAACAGAGTTGGTCAGTGTTGTCTAGTTTCATGACAGGTAAATGTCAGAGCTAGGTGTACTTACTGGATCAGACAACGGCAACCAAATAGAGCGAGACATAAGTTAGCTGCGGTTGTGACCACAGTTGGTCCGTGTGGTCTAATCAATGGAGCGTGAACAAAACTGCTGTGGTAGAATTGTATTGAAATGCTTTTTTGACTTTCTGGTTTTTATGGAAAACCAGACCCGACATTTTCGTTTTCTCTATTATTTCAGAAACTATAATTTGAAATAAATGATTTTAACACAGACACATTATATGCTTAAATTCACTATTCTTTAATCATTTTTCTAAAAATTATTTAAAAAATAAAAATATAATTTAATAAAAATTTCAACTTTTAAAATCAGCAATTTATGATCAATTTGAAGTAATCAATAATGTTGGAAAAAAAATTTAATGTTTTTATCAATCCACATAGACAAGATAACGATATGAAAAATGACATATTTTGTTTAGTTATCTGTTAAGATATGAAGTTGTAAAAACTTATTTTTAAATATTTTATTTCCTACATCTGATTTCACTCCCTTCAAATAAAAACAGCTTGGAGATTTTGGTGATTGAAATATTTAAGAAATATGTAATTAAAAATATTATACACTTAATGTAGATATTATAACTTGCTTTAAATCATGCCAATTTTCTTGAAATTATTTGAAATTTCTTACATTTGAAAACAGAAGAAAAAAAACAAAATATTTTTAGGATTACTCGAGTAAAAATTATGTAAATATCTGCTAAGAGTTTTGCTATATTAAGAACAAGATTTTTATTTCTTGTAATGGGTAGAGTAAGGTTTAGAGGATATTTTGTATCAATACCATCTACGAATGTAGTCTGGCTAATCGAAGACAAACATTGAACAGACGCTTGGGTCTACTTTAGTATGACTGACGGGCGATCAGTTCATCTTGCTGTCCCCATCAGAAGTGGACTCGTCCATTGACAATGGACTGGTCTTGATGTCAACTTTCTGGTCAGTCCAGCTGAGGTAGACACAGGAGCCCCGGGTGATGATCTGGGGGTGGGTGGTTGAGTGCTCCACGCCATCTTTGTCCAGCCACTTCTCCTCCACAAACTCCACACAGGCCTGTAGTGGGGGGAGGGGGGGGGTTAAATAAGAAAAGTAACTTTCACCAAACTCATAATGATAAACTTTATCCCTAAATTTACGCGATTTTAATTAAAATTCACTGAACACAGTTGGTCTTTAATGCTACTTGATAATGTATTATAACTTTCGTTAAATATGTAAGCCTGCTTTTTTCTTCACAGGGCTTTGCCTTTCTCAACACGCTTTACTCACTTTCACGTGCAGGCAGTTTGAAACAAAACCTGTATAAGAGGTTTGTTACTTCCTCCCTTTCAAAATGTTAAGGGAACCAGAGAAAAGGATCATAGAACTAGCTGCGATGCACGATAATATACAACTATTTCAGGTGTGTATCTTTTAACTGTGAATCCCGTGGATCCGATTCATTGTATCTCATATTTTGCGCGTAACTCAAAGCGAAAAAATGGCTCGCTCAAATGCTCGTATTTAAACAATTTTCGTATGTCAGGGCACTCGTATGTCGAGGTACCACTGTATTTGTTAAGGTGTGTACAATGGTTTCATTGAGCTTTCAGCGGATGTCAACTCTTCTATGATCTATCGATTGATTTAGTTTTTAGCGGATGTCTACTTTTGTATGATCTATCGATTGATTTAGTTTTCAGCGGATGTCTTGTATGATCTATTGATTGATTTGGTTTTTTAAGCGGTTGTCTTGTATGATCTATCGATTGATTTAGTTTTCAGCGGATGTCTTGTATGATCTATCGATTGATTTAGTTTTCAGCGGATGTCTTGTATGATCTATTGATTGATTTAGTTTTCAGCGGATGTCTTGTATGATCTATCGATTGATTTGGTTTTCAGCGGATATCTTGTATGATCTATCGATTGATTTAGTTTTCAGCGGATGTCTTGTATGATCTATCGATTGATTTAGTTTTCAGCGGATGTCTAGTATGATCTATCGATTGATTTAGTTTTCAGCGGATGCCAACTCTTGTATGATCTATTGATTGATTTGGTTTTCAGCGGATGTCTTGTATGATCTAGCGATTGATTTGGTTTTCAGCGGATTTTCTTTTATGATCTATCGGTTGATTTAGTTTCCCGCGGTTGTCAACTCTTGTAAGATCTATCGATTGATTTGGTTTTCACAACTCCAACCAGAGTAACAACTAAAGCTCTTAATGTAAAGTATTTCGTTGTATGAATAACCGTTGGAACTGCTTTATCTCCCATACACGGCAACGCGGGTAATTAAGTTGGTAATAAATAATAGTATAAAAATTAATACAAGGCAGCGTTAGATGTAATTACTTAAAATTTGAAGCTGGTTTGGTAGTAGATATTTTATTATGATTTGAACGTTATTTTTGTACGAAAGCATTAAAATCAAGCAGCTAAAAAATTATCATATATATTATGGTTTTAATGCGTATGCTGAATCTAGTAAAAACTTTCAACACAAATACAAAGCAAAGAGAAACAACTCACTTTTTCTTCAGGGGTAAGAACTCCGCCCTCTCCCACTGGCCTAAACGCTTGCAGTAAGTCTTTAATGGTCACCTCATATCGAAGCTCTCGTTCTTCGCAGCCAATCACGCTAGTAAACCTAATGGGGAGGACTCCTGGTGACAAAAGCAATACAACAGGATACTTTAGAGGGCTGGAGCACGTTTTGGTAAGAATCTTTATGATAGAAAAAAATTATCTAATATTTCATTTCTATTTTAGAACAAGGAAGTTACCTTTCCGGTCAGACAAAGTGGTTCGAATCTCAAACTCATATACAGAGCACTCTTGTCTCGCTAACAGCTGAGCATGGGCTCGGGACGATGGCTCAACTGCAATCTGCGAAAAGTATTTCTTTGTTAAACTGTGCTTTGGTTAAAATAAGTTTTGTTTAAAAACAATATTTATTCCAAACTTTTTTCCTCTGGGTGGTCACTTGAAATTTCCGGGGGGGGGGGGGGGGGGGGGTGAGGGCGGACACTGGTAAAAGTATATATTATCTATATAAATTCCATTTCGTACGGGGGAGGGGGCGGTAGACTCTCTTTAGGAAGGGGGGGGGGGCGCCGAAGAGTCGACTGGAAGAAACAATGTTTACAAATGTGTTTCTAGTCTTCACACGTCAAGAATTTCGAGAAAACTTCTAAACACACCTGTGAGTTGATCTCCCAGGTGTGAACCTTTTGGAACACTTCACCTTTGACCTTGCTTAGATTTATGGCACTGTCTATGCCGACTTGTAAATACTGAGGGAGATTTAACTTGGCACACACCTAAACGTACAAATAAATAAATTAATGAATAATATAGCAATCAATCAATCAATCAATCAATCAATCATTCAATCAATCAATCAATCAATCAATCAATCAATCAATCAATCAATCAATCAATCAATCAATCAATCAATCAATCAACCAATCAACCAATAAATCAATAAATCAATAAATCAATAAATCAATAAATCAATAAATCAATAAATCAATAAATCAATAAATCAATAAATCAAAAAATCAAAAAATCAAAAAATCAATCAATCAATATATCCACATGTCTATCAATATATATATATATATATATATATATTTATGTGTTTTAGTGAGTGTGTGTTAAAAATCTTGCATATTCACGTTGTGTATAACAGTAAACATAACACCTGGAAAACACGACACCCAATGCAGATGATTGATGTGTAATGAGTCCCATAAATTTTCTACTGTCGGCCACTACCTGTTTCTTGACCGTGTAACATTGTGCTAGGTCCACGTCCACCCATGTTGTCGTGTCACGTGATCCATTAAAAGCGTAACTTTGTTTACGGTCGGCTTTGTTGTCATAGTAACTCTCCCAAAGCATCACCCATTGTTTGCCTAGTATGAATAAATATTCGCAATACATATATATGTATATATATATATATATATATATATATATATATATATATATATATATATATATATATATATATATATACATATATATATATATATATGGATAAAATATATAATAAGTATTTGTTTGCTGACAAGTAGGGTTTACATGTGTTATTTAAATGGAACAATACCTCTACTTCTGTTACTGCATTTAGCTAGAATTTTTGAATTTTTTTATGTTTTGAATGCTACTATTGTCTACAGTGTAGGGTAGTTACTTTGATTTACAAAATAAATGATGGCATATATAGGCCTACATAATATATATATATATATATATATATATATATATATATATATATATATATATATATATATATATACATATATATATGTAGGTATGTAAAATAGAGCTTCGTAAAAACAATCTTATTACTTAAAATATGTGACTCCTGACCTATCACGCATACATGGGGGATACGACGACAAGGTATTGTTTTAAAATGTTTAAAGTTGATTCACTGTTCCCCAGTTTGTCTGTACACAGCACAATAATTCATTATTAGATACTTGTGTATCTTATATATAATTTTTTTTAACGATAACAACTCTGTGTTATTGACTGCGAAAGTTAACTATAACATTATATCGAATTTTCAAAACGGCAGAACTCTAAAAAAATATACATGAACATACTAGTAAAAGTATACAGAAACTCTGTTCAAGTGTAAAGTATTTTTAAAAAAATAAACCATTTTTCTGGGGGGGGGGGGGGGGGGAGGGGGGGGGGGGCACACTCTAGTAAAAGTTTACAGAAGTGTAAAGTATTTTTAAAAAAAATATGCCCTCGTATCAAATTATTATGCGATTACCTTTTTGTACGTCACCCCTGTGGGGTTCCATCACCGATCCGTCCTTCACCTTGGGAGAGAACTTGGTGACCTTGTGCTCGATGTCCAGCACCGCCCAGTCCGGCTCACAGGTAAAGTTGACCTCTTTTTCCTCCAATTTGAATCTCTCGTCTTCATCACAGTCCCTGCGTTAAATTAGTACAGCACAAAATACAATATGAGAGAAATAAATTTGGTTTCTATAGTTACACAGCTAATGTATTTTAGCCGTCCCATAAATATATACAAATAATTATAATTAAAAAGAGTGCAGCTATGTTATGTATTAAATACTGTTACTAAAATTATATAAGCGATCTACGCTTTAGAAAAACAGTGATTCATTATTAGATATTTAAAGAAAGCCTTCTTCTTTTTTAGTCCATATTTAAAAGCTTTTTATTATATTTTGTTTAATTAATAAAAACTACATATATAAAATAAAACTGCATCCGATTCTAAAAAAAAAACATTTCTATTATTAGATTTGAACGTTCTTGAAGATACCTACGGGTGAAACTTGTGACGTATTTTTTTTTTCGTTTTTTTTTTTTTGTTGTTGTTGTATTTATTGTATGAACTCTAGAACTCAACTATAGAAATAATGGCCGTATTAAAGATACTCACTTCAACATCATCTGCCAAGCGTAACGCCGAACGACTTCATCGAGTTGAAAGGTTAACACCGGATTATCCTTTAAATTCTTCGCTGTTTGAGAAACGTTGAATTTATTACATAATAACACTAAGGAGCTAATGATTTTTTACTTTGTTTTATTGTGCTAAATGGAGTATTGTTAATTTAAAGTATTATTACATACGACTTGCATGGTGTAAAAATAATATGTGTTACATTTAAGATGGCTGAAACAATTGTTTTTCTTAATATAAAGTCCATTTGTAATATAGTTTCTAATGTCCATGTAATGATTAAATTAAGCTGAAAATATTTGAACCCCCTCCTGACCGATCCACAAACCCTCCCCATATTACTCCTTAATATGAACATTCCCCCGGACATACGCCCCTTGCGTGTTCATATGAACACCTCCCCCACCCCCTCCCCCCCACCGGACAAAAAATTTCCCCCTTCAATATAGGCTTAAATCTCCAGGATAAAAATCAAAAGAAAATTGCACAGAGACGCAGATCACAATTGTGTGGACATTTCACCTGCAAATATTTTATATCGACCTAGTCAAGACGAGTCACAACTTGTTTATCGTCACCCCCCCCCCCCCCTCCCTCCCCACCATTCCTGTACCACCAAACTTGCATCTTACTTTCAACTTAGCTCACTACCCTCACAGAAAAACTAATCCATCCCCCACAGCCATCGGAGGGGGTGTGGATCAATAGAAAAAAATCCAACTCTGGATTATAGCTTTGGTTAGAGTTAGGCTGTGCTGGGTATTGTGGCTTGAGTGTTTGTTATGTTGGAGTTAGAATGTGTTGGGTTAGTGGCTTGGTCGTTTGTTACGTTAGAGTTAGTTGGGTTAGTGGCTTGGGTGTTTGTTATGTTAGAGTTAGGTTGTGTTGGGTATTGTGGCGTGGGTGTTTGTTACGTTAGAGTTAGTTTTGTTAGTGGCTTGCGTGTTTGTTATGTTAGAGTTAGGTTGTGTTGAGTATTGTGGCTTCTGTGTTTGGTTATGTTAGAGTTAGGTTTTGTTGGGTATTGTGGATTGGGTGTTTGGTTACGTTAGAGTTAGGTTGTGGGTGTTTGTTACGTTAGAGTTAGGTTGTGGGTGTTTGTTACGTTAGAGTTAGGTTGTGATGGGTATTGTGGCTTGGGTGTTTGGTTACGTTAGAGCAGGGGTTCCCAACCTTTTTTTACTCTAGGGCACATTCTAAAATATCGGTAGGGTATTTTCTGACACTCCATGTTTTATTGGTAGGTGTGTTTGTATGTGGGGGAGGGGTGGGGGCGGATCGGCATTACATATCCGATGTAAAGTAAACAATTTTTGTGTGCAAAAAATTACTTCGGTTTATAATGGCACGTAATGGTTTGTAATCGTTTGTTATGGTTTGTTATGGTTTGTAACAGCTTGTAACGGTTTTTTTTTTGTTTTTTTTTTTGTTTGTAACGGTTCGTAACGGTTTGTTATGGTTTGTTATGGTTTGTTATGATTTATTATGGTTTGTTATGGTTTTTTATGGTTTGTTATGGTTTGTTATGATTTGTTTTGGTTTGTTATGGTTTATAACGGTGTGTCCTGGTTTGTTATGGTGTGTATGGTATGTAATGGTTTGTAATGTTGTGTTATGGTGTGTATGGCGTGGAATGGTTGATCTACTGACCTCTTTTTTGCCTCATGTCCCGAGCACGGGAACCTTCCTCTCTACATGCTCGCTCTTCTTCCTTTGTCCAACCTTTGTGGTAGTTTCTGGGATTAAATCATTTTAACTTTATGAGACCCTCAAATAAATAAATACAAATAACAAGGTCATGTTAACAAATAGTCTGGCTAAGTAAATGTTCAAATCCACCCCCAAACATACGAGCAGAAAAACTGACTGCTACACTGACAGAGTCAAACTACAATCAACTGACCAGCCCACTGACCATGATCCGTGCGAATAGTATTCTTACCTTTTCCATTGCTCAATAACCTTATTCACCACGTAACTATGAGCCTCCAACATTACAGCTGCCAGAAAGAACTTCCAAATTAATTGGCGCAGCGATATTTCCTTTCCACGGAAGAGCTCAAACAAGTAGAGGCGCGCATTTTCAATCTTTAAAAACAGCATTCAATTACGTCTAGTGTTTACATTAAATCCATCTAGTAAAAACTCATCAAAGTTCGATACAGTCAACTATAAAAAATAGCAGGTATTTTTCAGCCATAAATCAGCCAATATTTCACCGAATTGCATTGACTTCAACGACAGGATTCTCGTGCTTTTTATTTTAGTGACTTGTAAAATCTTGTAGACACTTTGGTTACACACTTATAGTATTACCCATTCAGAATTCACTCAATTAAATATTCCAGCAAGCCCGTTAAATGTTTACGTGATATAAATCCATTTAGTTGCCTGACAAATCATTAAGGAAAAAAGGTTTAATACACATATACAAGTTCGCATTTTACTCACCTCAAATATTTCTAAGTAGTGAAGGGTCACAAAGAACTGCCACCGTGCAAACGCTTGTAAAATGGCCCAAAAGAACACGACCCTCACAGGTGTTAGTTCTGGGATCTCCAGCCATGTGTAGAGCTTGCCTTGAAGTCGCTCTAGCATTGAGGGCCGTTTGGGTTGACAGGAAGGGGGCGACATGTCTGGTTCGGTGCGGGGGGCGCTGGTTTGGGTCGCTGGAAGTAATGAGAGTTGGGTGTAAAGGGTGGAGATGTTGGGTGGGGTTTATGTGTTGGGGAGGTGTAAAGGGTGGAGTTGTTGGGTGGGGTTTAGATGTGGGGAAGGTGTAAAGATTGGAGGTGTTGGGGAGGGGTGTAGATGTTAAGAGGTGTTAAGAGTGGAGGTGTTGGGGTGGGGTTTAGATGTTGGGACGAGTAAAGGGTGGAGGTATTGGGGTTGGGTTTAGATGTTGGGAGTCGTAAAGGGTGAAGGTTTTGGGGTGGGGGTTTAGATGTTGGGTAGGTGTAAAGGGTGGAGGTGTTGGGGTGGGGTTTAGATGTTGGGTAGGTGTAAAGGGTGGAGGTGTAGGAGAGGGGGGTTTAGATGTTGGGTAGGTGTAAAGAGTGGTGGTGTTGGGGTGGGGTTTAGATTTTGGGACGAGTAAAGGGTGGAGGTGTTGGGGTGGGGTTTAGATGTTGGGTAGGTGTAAAGGGTGGAGGTGTAGGAGAGGGGGGTTTAGATGTTGGGTAGGTGTAAAGGGTGGAGGTGTTGGGGTGGGGTTTAGATTTTGGGACGAGTAAAGGGTGGAGGTGTTGGGGTGGGGTTTAGATGTTGGGTAGGTGTAAAGGGTGGAGGTATTGGGGTGGGGTTTAGATTTTGGGACGAGTAAAGGGTGGAGGTGTTGGGGTGGGGTTTAGATGTTGGGTAGGTGTAAAGGGTGGAGGTGTAGGAGAGGGGGGTTTAGATGTTGGGTAGGTGTAAAGAGTGGTGGTGTTGGGGTGGGGTTTTAGATGTTGGGTAGGTGTAAAGAGTGGAGGTGTTGGGGTGGGGTTTTAGATGTTGGGTAGGTGTAAAGAGTGGAGGTGTTGGGGTGGGGTTTTAGATGTTGGGTAGGTGTAAAGAGTTCAGGTATTGGGGTGGGGTTTAGATGTTGGGTAGGTGTAAAGAGTGGAGGTGTTGGGGTGGGGTTTTAGATGTTGGGTAGGTGTAAAGAGTGGAGGTATTGGGGTGGGGTTTAGATGTTGGGGAGGTGTTAAGAGTTGAGGTTTTGGGTTGGGGTTTAGATGTTGGGGAGGTGTAATTAGTGGAGGTGCAAGGGTGGGGGTTCAGATGGTAAGAAGAGTAAAGAGTATAGGGTTGGGATTAAGATGTTAGTAAGGTATAACAGGTGAAGGTGTTGGGGTGGGTTTTAGATGTGGGTGAGTTTTAAAGAATGGAGGTGTTGGGGGTGGGGTTTAGATGTTGCTAGGTGTAAAGAGTGGAAGTGTTGGGTGGAGATTTAGATGTTGGGGAGGTGTAAAGAGTGGAGGTGTTGAGATTGGGTTTAGAAGTTGGGGAGGTGTAAAAATTGGAGGTTTTGGAATGGGGTTAAGATTTTGGGAGGTGTAAAGAGTGTAGATAATGGGGTGGGGTTTAGATGTGGGGGAGGTGTAAAGAGTGTGGTTAAGGGGGTAGAGTGTGTTTATCTGATGAAGTATTGTTGGAGAGGTGTGGGGAGACGATATAAGTTATCTATCAAGTTGTATGATGGCACTCATCTACTCCCCCGATGAAAATGTCGTCACGAACCTAGATCTACTTTTTGACACAAAAGTAGTTCTGTTTAATTAACTTTAATTGAAATAACCGTCCATTAATTACATGTCACAAAAAAATCTCTCCACACTTTTGAGTATAATAAATACAGGAAGAATTTAGTATAACAGAATAAACTGTGCTCTTGATGAAATGAAATTGGCCTGTTAAATCTAGCCTTGAAGTAGAAATAGTTTAAAAATCACTAGATTTATAAATCTTGTTAATTCGATTTTAGATCTAGATCAAGATAGACATTCTTAAAATATAAGCTTTCTACTTATTTGCAAGTTTAATACAGACATTTTCAAAGTGGAAGGTTATTTAGAAGAAGTATGTACAGGAACATACTTTTCGCGCATGTCAACAATAAGAATCGGGTGTGTTCCCGCAAAATACAGTCAGCGTTACTGCGAAAAAGCTAAGTTCGAAACACACACACAAGCACACACACAGCAACAGGAAGGATTAACATAACTCTTACCGGTCGTTTTATCTGTTTTCATCGTGTGATGAATAAATCTGGCTTCGCTCAGCAAGTATCCACCGTAAATAGAGACGATCTTTCTAGCATTTGTTTGACATTTGCTGTCGAAAAAAAACAATCTCTAAGGAACCAAATCATGAACCCGAAAATACGTGCACACTGTGTTGCACTGCATTTTCGGGAATCCCAGAACCAGACTGACAAGATGGTGTGATTTAACTTTAATTCGTGTGTACATGTTGTGGAAAAACGACTGTGAGAGATTTTAGACAGATCTCGCATGCTCGCTTTAGGGATGACGTTATATATATATATATATATATATATATATATATATATATATATATATATATATATATATATATATTAAATATATCAAATTTTTGAAACAAAATATTTTTTAAAATATGGCAAGCGATAAAATTATCGTAAAAAATTTGTAAAAAATTAAAGCCGTTTGGGAACCATCGATTACACTCATTTTTATATTTTTGTATCGAATATAAGCCGTCGATAAGCCGTTTTGAATTATCTTATAAATTCAAATATTTTTAAAAACTACACCCAACCTCTCCTTGAAGTTAAGGGGTCATCCATAAATGACGTCACACTCGTAGGGGGGAGGGGGGTCCGTAATTTTGTGACGATGTGTGATGAGGGGGAGGGGGGGGGTCAGATGTTGCGACGTCACATTTTTGCATTATAAAAAAGCAATGTTAGAAAACGAATTTTAGACGTTATTTCGCGTTTTAGATAACTGTTTTAATAAATTGTAATAGCTTAGACAAGATTTTGGAAAAATATCGATGTTTTAAAAAAATTCAACTGCAATTTTGAGGGGGGTTGTAGGTTAAAGTGTGACGTCATTTTAGGGGGGGGGTCTGGCTTTTTGTGACGACGTGTGACGGAGGGGAGGGGGGGAGGTAAAAATCGTCAAAAAAAGCGTGACGTCATTTATGGATGACCCCTAACCGGAATTGCCAGGGAGAGTAAAATAATAAAGTTAGAACAATTGTTTTCCATGATAAAAATACACAATAGTGGTCTATCGTGTATAGCGTAGTATTGTAATTATATTAAATAATATAACATCCCCTGACTCTACTAATCCAAATTAAAAATTAAAGTGTTTGCTAAATTACTATTATATTACTAGTAATTATTTCGTTGACTATTTCTAGCTTTAATGAAACCGTAAGTAATTTTGTACTGATTACACTAATGTTATAAAATATTCAATTTTGGTTGATAAAATATGCTTTTTGGCAACAAAAAATTGGAAAGATTTGGAACCAGCTTTTTATGTCTTGATTTTCGTAATAAACATTTTTTTTTTTCAAATTGAAAGGATGAAAAATTTTAAGCTTCATAGTTTGAAAATGCGCGTACGTCCAAGAAGACACGAAGGTGATGTTAAAAAAAAAGTAGGCTAGTTTATACTAGATATATTTTCTTATAAAATATATCAGGTATAAACTAGCCTACTGGGTGGTCTACACGATTTTTCCTGTTATAAATTTCAGTGTGGTCTACACGATTTTCCTCCTATAATCACCTAAACTGTAATAACTCCCGTCAAAAGATAGAGACAAGCATTCACGCCACGGTGCAAGAATGACCTTGCAGGACTCGTTTGAAGGTGAACTGTTCACAGGTCGGGTTGACCTTGCCGAGAAAAACGTCACGCTTATACAAGATAGGCCTCAGGTAGAGGTTCGTACAAACTAGCAATGTCTAGTATGGATTGTACGGATAAGCCACACGTTAAATTAAGAAGCTGAAGAGAAAACCATCGACGACGGTGAACTGTTCACATCTGCTGTTTTTAAAAATGTCATGTTTATTCAAAATGCGCCAACCGCAAAGGAGACGATGTAATCTCAATTTTAAGTAAGTATTGATGTATTGCTAATTTAAAAAAAATATTCAAATCAATAGTATGCATAAAAAGAACAAGAAAAGCACGCAACAAAATACTTTGATTACTTATTGTTTTATTTTATCACCTAATTATTATTGTTTTTCTTTTACTTTATTAAAATAATTTTAATGAGTACAAGGAAATAGAATAACATAATACATCTGAGTTATAAATAATTTCATTTATATTTTATTATGAATATAAGTAACTTTTTATGAACATTTTTTCAAGTCAATGGAGGCGACCGAGTAAAGTCCCATAGGTATTCAAGAAGCACATTAAATATTTAATTAATCGTACACGGCGTAGTTACAATTAACATGTTATGAAATCCTGTCTGTTTGGTTTTTTTCGGACTCTACTAAAGATTGGATGTAGTATTTGATGTTTTTTATACTTTCGGTAACTAAATTAAAAAAAAAAAGCAAAAACCATTTGGGTTTTCACGTGTAATGAAGACAAAAACAATGGCCTAATGCTATTCGATAGGCTAGCAGACATTTTATTGTACACATTGAAAGCGAAAAAAAAAGGGGGAAAACTGGGTCATGTGGTTTAAAAATGCATTGTTATTTAAAAGAAATTAAATTGTTATCAGAACCTTCCAGTTCTACAGCATCTTTTTCGCAAGTAAAGTTACACTATAGTAGGGTTAAGGGTAGACTTAAAAAGAACCTTTACTTAGGGTTAGGGCTGGGGTTAGGGTTAGGGCTGGGGTTAGGGTTACGGTTTCGGTTTCGGTTTCGGTTTCGGTTTCGGTTACGGTTACGGTTACGGTTACGGTTACGGTTACGGTTACGGTTACGGTTACGGTTACGGTTACGGTTACGGTTACGGTTACGGTTACGGTTACGGTTACGGTTACGGTTACGGTTACGGCTAGGGTTAGGGTTAGGGTTAGGGTCCGGGCTAGGATTAGGGTTAGTATTATGGTCAAGGTTTGGCTTAAACCAGGGGTCGGCAACCTGCGGCTCGCGAGCCGCATGCGGCTCTTTTGATGTCAAGATGCGGCTCTTCAACTCGATGAACAAATATAAATAATTATTTTATTTTATTTTTTAAAACTCATTAATGTATTAGTCTGCGAAACTCGGAAACGAACGATATGATAATAAATATAACCAATAAACACCCGCTATTCTATTAAAATATTTAGTTACTCCCTATTTCAATGTACTTCCTTGCTTTCTAAAACCGAGTTATTTAAATGTAAACAATGCCTCTGGATCATATTTTTCGGGGCGCTGGTTTCCTACACTACCGCCCACCACCACCACTAATACTATCAAAATGCAACTAACACTTCTCATTACACACTCCCATGACCAACGCTAACACTATCTACATTTTAAATCTCTACATCTTTCCTCTACCGCTACATATCTCTAATTGCTGACCCACGCCTCACTGGTCATCTGACAGTCTCACGTGACCAGTCATCTCCTGTATTTCTAACTAACTTACGCAATACTCTGTTTCTGCTATCTTCCATTTGACCTCTATGACGTATAACTTGCATAATCACACAAACCCCTCCCACACTATAACCCTAAATACGACATACCCCCACACTATTATCCTAAATACGACAAACCCCTCCTACGCCATAACCCTAAATATGACATACCCCCAAATATATATATATATATATATATATATATATATATATATATATATATATATATATATATATATATATATATATATATATATACAAAAAATCCTAAATAAATAAAAATGTTGGTGGCTCTTTAAAAACTGGGAAAATTTGTAAATTGTGACTTTTGGCTCTTCTGTCTCAAAAGGTTGCCGACCCCTGGCTTAAACCAATGTCTAGAATTGATTTTGTGTTAAGTTTTAGGCTGAGGTGGATGCTTACGTTTTGGTTTTTTTTTCTTAAGATTAGGATTAAGGTAATATATATAGGTATATAATTTGAGTTAGAGTTAGGATTCCAACTTGAGGGGGGGGGGGTAATTCCCCGGAATCAGGGTGATTGACAGCGGAGTAATTGATCCGGGGGATAAATACGGGGGTAATTGACGGGGGGTAATGTCCTGTAGTCCTGTTTGACATGGCTAGTGTGTAGATTGGAAATTAAAGTCATATATTTCATGTTAGTACTTTTACAAACAGCATTATACGCAACCTTTGCGCTACGTCACAGGTCAGTGGTTCTAGCCGGGGTTCAATCAAACCTCCACGAAGTCGGTGAGTTGGTCTCAGGAGTTCAGCGGAGGTCACACTAGACTCCTATGATTTTCGTCGACTGTTGTCGGTGTGGGCGATGTAACTAATGTTCGCGGCTGATGACTGTTCAAATACAACAGGGGAAATTTAAAAGCTTAACATCCATTTATAGTTATCTATTTATGGCGTCCACAAAAAAGTTTAATTTTACAGCCCGCCCCCGTTCCCCCCTCCCCCCAACAGAATTGTCCTCACTGGTCTATATTTGACGTCCGCACTAATTTAGTAGACCTCTCAACAATATTTTATATTCGTTATTGATTATTAGGCTTAAATATTAGAAGTTGAATGTAGATGGCGTTGAAAAATTAAGTGCTTTAATGTCAGAGTACAACTATGTAATTGATTTGATCGATTTTCCCATAAACAACGAACCTGCAAAGTATAACACCCAAATTTCTTGAGATAAAAGCAGTAGGCCTACATTTATTATCTGTGTGCCACTCGTATGATCTATTATTATGATACATACAATATTAAAATTAAAATAAGTCATGAAATGAATTACCTCTATTTCTGCTTACTTAATCGCTCGATTGCCAAAGAGAAACTTCGTTTAGATATTGTATTTGGGGGTCGTTCATAAATGACTTGAAACTCAGTGTGTGGGAAGGGGGGGGGGGTGAAAGTTTAGTTTTAGAGAAAATGTGAGGCGAGGTTGAAGAGCGTTGATGAAAGTATGACGACACATATTACACATTGCAATATACAATTTAAAAAACAACTAAAAATCGTAACAGTTAATTAAATGTTTATAATAAATATAATGTATTGCAATTTTCTTTAAAAATATAGATGTAATGAAAATGTGACAAATGTATATTTTTGATGCTTTAATGGGCTAGTTACTTTCCATTTCATACATCAAAATAAGTAGGGGATACAACTCATAAATATGTTAACAACAATCACTGAAATTATATACAAACAATAAAATATCAAAACTGTAAAGATGGCCACTGTAT